AGTTTCATGTTCAACCTTCTTTTTTTTTAAATAGAAAAATTATGTGGGTGGCATTCGGCTCGGTTAGAGAGGAAATGGGCCAAGTCCGATTGTGCAATATGTGCATGTTTCTTGTACCTGCAGAATTGCGCACTGGAGTCGGGTTCGTTTGAGGGGGTTTTTGGTTTTTATTTTTGGTTTGATTTGGTTTGTTTTCGGGGAGGGGAGAGCGGCTTTTGGAATGAGCCGTTGTGGGGACTTTTGTGGATCTTGGAGGTGAGGATTGTTGTTCAATGTGTTGAGAGAAAGAGAGGAGTTGTTGGGTTGGGTGATTTGGTGAGTTACGATACTCTTGTGTTTCTACGCGTAGGTAGTAGTTAGGTAGGTATAGGTAGGGGTAGATGGGATGATGGACTGTTGTACTACGTTTTAATCAAAGGGTTTAATTCGGTGATGCATGGGTTGGTTTTTATATATATATCTAAGTTATTAGTATGATACTATACTTTATAGCTAGGTGTGTCTGCACTCGATTCTGTGCAGAATAGCGGACTCAGTAGTGGATCCAGGGAAGTAAGTTTCGAGGTTGTCAGTTGGCTTGAGTTCTTCTAGAATGTCCCCATCTATCGCGAAAGTAGACAAAGTACGGAGTCCATATCCCTTCTTTCCATAGGAGGAACATACTTCGTCATACATTCCCCTATGACAATGCATACACGATATGCAAGGAAGGACCACCGAAATGACGCACGTCGTTCTTATCTGCAGGCGCCGTCGCAATCCAGATCCGATAGCATGCAGTGTACCAGGTACCTCGGCGCAAAGTATAGGACCAAGGGAGGGCTTGTGCGCCAGGCTAACGACGCGATGCAAGGACGGTTGCAGCTGGATGCGCGCCGCTGATAGGTTGGCACGCAACCTTCGTGCATCGGACTTATCCGCGGTGATGTAGCGGTTGTGTACCGGTATACTGCTACTGGAGGCGTGGAGGCGTGGATGTGACCTCTCATGTTGGATGGTGGTTTTTGTGTTGCGAGGCGGTGCCGGAAGAGGCTGCTGGTGGCTCTTCTTCTTTGGTTATGCGCTACGAGAGTGAGAGAGTGTCTGTTTGTGATGATGTCAGTGCAGTGTGGGTTTCAAGGGTTCGATATGAGGCTGTTTACGCTCGTGGACTGGGATTGGATGCGGTATGCTATCGATATACACAGCTTCGCCGGTTGAGTTGGTCGTTTGTCGAGGTATCACCACTGGGTGTTTTCTGAATCCAGCTTATTTTTGGAATTCCGGTTATAAATAGAAGAAGGAAGATATATTTGGTTCAGTATTGGATGTGCACCCGAGAGGTTGTGTAAGAACGATAGTTTACCAGATAGTTATCTTGTACTGACGAACTGGCCAAGACGGATTCTCTCTAAGGTATCGCTTTTTATAGACTACGGCATGATCCCACCAAGAGTATGGCTCGCATTGACAAACAGTATCTTCAGCTTTTCTCATCATTTCCCTCAAGTACAGGACCGGTCCCTCGCTCTGTCCCCTGGCCTGATATCTATGCCTGAGCTCAGATCCGTGATGGTGTAGGCAACTGGATACAGTCGAGATATGTAAGGCGATCTGCTTCTCGCTGTGTTCACCTGCAGGGTAGGATTCGATATTCAGGGAGTGCAGTCGAATGCCTTGGTTGTGGCTTCGATCGTTTCCCCAATTAGGACATTGTGACATGTCGATCCGGCGCCTCGCTTCATTTCACCGTTTGGCTAACGATCTGCCAGTAGCAGCGCACAGCTTTGGTTTCAGCTTCAGATTGCCTGCGGACTGATATCATGTACATTTCGGAATACCGGTGTGTATGAGAGCAGAAAAGATACCGTCATTTGATATACTACATGCGTACGTTGCAAACCTGGCTGTGATATATAAGATAAGAAAGCGAAATTAGACAGTTTCATAGATGTACGTCCAAGGGCATGCTCTTTCAGCCCTGACTTCGGTCCGACCTGCCGGACGTATCTTCCTCTTCGCCGCTATTGAACCCCACATCAACGACAACGGGCCTTTCCTCCTGCACGGGGTGGATGGCATGCTCCACATTGACCTTTGGTCCCTTGAACCACTTGTGGGCGTCGACCACCCACCAGATGCTCACCGCCAGCATTGGAGCGCCCCAGACAAGACACGTCCAATTCATCAGATCCGGTGTCAGGTCACCCCCTGTTACACTGGGAAGGCACAGAATGGGCACCATCAGCAGCACAAAGAGCACGCCCGCACCTCCAATGTATGCGCCAAATGGCCCCAAGTGCCATGGTCCCCGCCGGAAACGGTTACCAACGAAGAACACCCGAATGCAAATGGGGATCGCAAAGGCAACGAACTGCGCAATGGCACCGATAGAGAAGAGAGCGCCAATCGCTACATCCCCGGCGAGGATCAAGAGGCACATCAGGATCCCGAGGACGGCGTTTACGATGACAGCGTTCACGGGCGTTTGGGTGCGACTGTCAACTTTCTTCCAGATCCCGGACAGAGGAAAGCAGTCGTCGCGGGCATAGGCGTACGTGACTCGCGATGCGGCAACCATACATCCTTGGCCCATCGAGAACCCACAGATGATCGTTAAAGCGAGTATTCCCAGGGCGGTTTTTTGTGGCATCACCTGTAACAAGTATGACGCCCAAGGCTGCCCGAGATCAGAGTCTATCACCGCCTCGATATCAGTGACGGTGTAAGCGACTACAAGCTGCAAGAACCAGCCCATCAAGCCCCCGACGCCCGAAGTCATCACGATGGCCCGCGGAGAGGCGATGTTTGCGTTCGAACACTCCTCACTTAGGTGGAACGGAGAATCATACCCAGACATGGTCCAGATCACCCCGACAAAGGTCATGAGCACCGCGACCCCATCCGGAAAGTCAGTCAAGTTGGTGATTGTCCCCCATACTTCCTTGGACGGGGTGAACTTGGGTTCATTCTTCGTCCCTGCCGGGATGGCGATGAGGACAGCGATGAGCGCAAACATGTTGAAAGTTGAGCCCCACGAGTTGAACTGGGCAACCCATCTCGTTGGCATGCTGCTGATTACCGCGTGGAGGATCATGATAAGTGTGGTAAGGAGAAATGTTTGCCAAGAAGTAGGAACGTAGTCCGGGTTTTGGACCGACGCTGCAGCCAGGATCATCGCAGCCAGTGAAAAGTCCACCGACGGTGCTGCTGTAATCTGTCCAATCCAGTTGGACCACCCAGTGATCCATGCCGCGAATGGTCCGTATCCTGGAGGTGCGAGTACGGCAGCTGCATAGTAGAGACCGCCACTGGTGATGTCAGTTTCGATAGAGTAAGACCAGACTACTGGTTTGGTCGGTGCGAAAGAAGATGAAGCGGGCGTACCTTGTTGGCATCGCCGAACACAGTTCAGCCATTGACATGGCTACACACTGGATGAAAAGCATAGCTATGATCCAACCCCAAACCATGCCTGCTGTTCCCGCATAGCCCATCCCTGGACGGATGTCAGCCCGCGAGAATTCCCTCGGCGTCAGAGTAGCTACCGTAGTATATTGTGCTGGCAAACGATGGGAGCAGCCCAAGCACAGCAAAGCTGACGCAGAATGTAGTCCATAGCGAGAACTCTCGTTTGAACTCCTGCTTATACCCCAGGGCTACAATGACCCGCTCATCTGCGTCCATGGCATGGTCCGTATAAGGCACGTCGCCATTGGGCAGCACCGTGGTGACCGGGTCATGGTCTACATCGGCGTATACGGACCCCTTCGAGGTGGCCTTATCTACAGGCGTCGACTTGTCCACGGAAGACATGATGACGATGTTCTTCTTGACAATCGAGGATCGATTTCGAGCTAGGAGGTTTTTTCGACCGAGAGACAGGGATTCCTGTAGAGGCGGAGGATATAAGATAACCGGTCATTCCAAGCTGACCACGGAACTGTCGCTGGGGGGCTCAAAGTTTGTGACGCTGCAGTGACACAAGTATAGCGTTTCAGTGACAACTTCAACGGTGAACTGCGGAAAGGAGGAGGGGGGGGATGTAATATATAGATATAGATATGTCCAAGGCTGGAGCTGCGGAACGATGGTGATCTCAAAGTAAACCATGCACCCTGCACGGGGGGAAGAGTACCCACCCCTTCCGGAGCCGACGCCGCGATGAGGAGACGCATTCTCTTTTGGCTGATGCTAAGTTCGATACTAGTAATCTGCAAATGACATGGATGGGGAAGCTGAGAGGAATTCGCAGGTGGGGGGGAGTTGCTGGTTGCTTGGCACCTGGTCACACTCTCCTTGCGATGCAGTGAACCATTCATCATGCAGCAACATCAGTCTACTCCGCACAGCTCTCCAAAGCTTAGCCGCATCGTCCATACTCAGCAGGGCAGTTTCAGGCGGCGCCACATTCAAAGAAGGTTGGTCACATAGCTTCGACCTCGCTTGCCCTCAGTAAGGAGGCCCAAGACACAAAATGTCGGGGTTTCTTATCAGTCCGAGAGGGTGGCGTGTCGACGGACGGACGTTCAACCTTGATAAGAGTAGCACCCCAAAGATAACCCAAATTACGGGACGATTCTTATTCGACATGATAACGCCTATTAATCCAATCAGTCTCCCTTAGTGCCAACCATTCTTACTTTGATAGTACAGTAGGCTGGACCTGCCCTTATGGGAAACCCTGACCGTGGATATCTTTTGTCGCCAGGCTATCAACCATCATTGAGCACAGATATCGGTCCCTACATTTAGCAGGATTGTTTGCTTTGGACGTCCCCGGTATCCCCGAAACGCGGCGATCCCCGGAGGTCCATTTGCAGTACCCAACAGCCAAACAGAAACAAAGGAAGTGATAATTAAGGAGGCGTGTCTATGTGCTGTCACAATTCATCGCTGCTATTCTACACAGTACAGAACCGACTCCTTCCTCCACTATATAGCTGATAGGGAGCATATGCGCAAACATAAATCCCTGCGAGTAGGATATGGCTGAGGGATCGTACTTCGTAAGGAAACGTTTAGAAGGGCTACATGATTGTTAGCACATCAACATCCCGGATCGGCAAGCCTAGGAGAAAGCGGGTACGTACGTTGTCCTCGGGGGCAATGGTGCGGTCGAAGTACTGGTCGAAGAAGGGAAGCTGACGCAGGATATCGTTGCGGACACGGGGAACTTCACCGAAGAAGAAGATGGCGAAGACACCGGCGCTGGCACCGAAAGTAGCGGCAATCTGGGCACTGTGATCGCAACGCAGTCAGTACGACTCGAATAATGAAGGAGTAGAGGATCCCGCCGGAATGGGGGAGAGATGCATGGGAGTATAAAACAGGTGGTACTCACTACTTGGTAGCAGCGCCAACGGTCACACCGTGGAAGTTGAGAGGAGTAGTGTACCTGAAGATCATCAAGGACTCGAATTAGCAAGCCTCCCTCATCATTTTGGTTGCGTATTCAACGATTTCATTGGGCTGCCCTGCCCGCCGGTAACGATGTAGGTCTCAACCCTGGCGATACGGCGTGGGCTGCCTTTGCTGGCCGCACGCTCAGAGCTGAAGGTCGATCAAAACGCCATTTCCAAGACCAAACCAGGCCAGGCTCAGAGTACAGGTACACCCCATGTGCATGTCGTGATACGGTACTGTCAATTGAAGGTTCGGAGGATCTCACTTGGGAGCGAAAGGAGAGCGGTAGGCACCAGCAGTCTGGGCCGCAGCACGACGAAGGGTCTGAGAGAACTATAAGAACACGGTGGTTAGCAATTGGCTAGTTTCATATGGTTTCTCTGCTGACGGTTGGTGCGATTGAACATCACACTCTTAACCTGAGCCCTTGGAGAGTGAACGGGCTTTCGACCCAACTAAAACGGAGATATTTTAGACAGGGGTACACATACCATCTTGTCTATAGACTTAGAAGCAGGATCTAAGCAAGAACAGTTCTAATAAAGCGATAAGTGACAGCAGCAATCGAGATTCAAGGCAGTCGTAGAAAACCGGGAGACTCCGCGACGTTCACAATGCTTGCGGCAACCCGATAGCCAATCACCACCCGCCAATTGACCATCACGTGAAATACCTGGACTGTCGAATCAGAGCCTCGCTTTTACATTCGAGATTAACGCGGTTAGTGGTTCGAGTGCCTTGCGCATTGTATGAGATACTTGAATATCAGATGTGGTCATTAGTAAAATCTTAACATTTCCATGATATCTAAACCTTCAAGCTATTTCTGTCTTTCCTTTTATTTCTTTGGCGCCTATCAGGGCAACCAGTTGGCATCTGGACATTGCTTGTACAGCCCTAAACCCTACACTACACTTCATCATTACTCCGCTGGTGACGTAAAACGATAGCTTTTTGTAATCTGTATAGGTACTAAGGAGGCACTTGCGTGTCTGGTACAAATTATGGAGGAGCTTGCCGACAGCACAACACTCGCCCGAACGCCGCCTAAACCAGGAGATCAATATAAAAATGGAATGAGATATATGAAGGGCATCATCAATACCAAGATATAGGACACAGTTAAAAACATTACAAACCAAGAGAAAAGCCAGTTGAAATGAGCACGAGCGAAATGAAGGATGGAGGGACACGTCAAGGGAGAAAAAGAGGTGGAAATAAATATAATAACTGTACAGATGATACTTCTGGGTCATCCACCGTCGACTAATCTACCTTGCCGGTTGAGCCGCCATTCAGCAGACCTTCTTTCCCATCAAGGTGAAAGAAACCATTGCTGCCGTTAGTGACACCGAGAATGCCACCGCGGCCGGCACGACGGCCCCTGGCTCGAGCCAACAATGTCGCACCAACAATGGAGACGATCAGGATGAGAACGAAGAGTATGGGGTGGTTGACGATGAAGGACCGAGCGAAGAAAAAGATAGACTCAAAAGTGCCAACAGTGGACTTCGGTGTCAGTTTAGGGGAGTTGGCGATCACAAGAGGAATAGTTTCGAGAATAGAAGTACGTGAGGCCAGGATGGGAGACCCGCTAGAAGATGAGTCCCAGTACCGTCGGTTCTGGCCGGGTTAGTATCAGTCTCAAAATAAAGGCTTTCTTCCGCCGAGGAGGCAGCACTTACATCGTGATCGTTGATAATGACTCGTTCCCCATTTGCCACATCAATACCATAGGCATTTCTCAACCACCGTTCCCAGAAGTCGCCATCCACCCAGGCGAAGCCAACCTGTTTCTTGTCATCTTCACGGATTGTGATGCGCATGTTCTTGGCAGCTCGCAACGCGCGCTGGTCGTTACGGTCATCAGCCTCCTCAATGCGGAGCTGTTTGGCGTCCCGAAGTTCTGCCCGTTCCAACTGGAACAACTGAACTTGCTTGTCCATCCATTCAAGAGCCGCGCTCTTCAGCTCCCTCTTTGACTGCAAGAATTCGTCCGAGCGTCCCCGGCTCAAGATTCCGAGAACCACGTACCTGCCATCCATGATTTCTCCAGCGTTGGAGGCGGTAAGTTCGGGGACGATGGGTAACCACACGGTGCGCATCCATCCCAAGATCTGTCGGAAGTCTCGCATGTCCTTGGGAGCAATCGGAGTATAGTAGTTGGCTCGACCGTCTCGGACAACAAGAAGGCGGGGCCATGTTGAAATCTTGAACCGTTCAGCCAGGGCTGCGCTGTTCGTTTTTACAATTCGTCCATGGCCGATCAAGCTAAGAGTTAGGCGCTCCAGAGCCTCAAAATCCTCCGATGTCGTAGCGTGGTCGTAGAAATACAAGAAGATGACTTCTTCCTTCTCCTCCAGCTCCTTGAAGGAAGTGGCGTCGACGTCCTGAACACCCAAGCCAACGTCAACTGCCTTCTTGGCATAGTTGACTAGATCGCCTAGGCCCCGAAGGCCGTTGTATTCAACCCTCTCACCGCCCCGGAAGAAATACATTGTGGGAAAGGCCGATACATGAGCATCTTTGCAAAGTCTGGGCTCAGCGTCACAGTTTACTTCTCCGACGTTCAGGACGTTTTGCATTTCCCTGGCCATTTGCTGCCAGTTAGGGGCAAGTGCCTGGCAGTGATGGCACCATGGGGCATAAAACTTAATAAACCATGGATCCTGTGTGGTCGTGACAAGTTTCTGGAAGCTCTCGGCGGTGAGGGGAACAGAGATTCCTTGAGGGTTTGCTGGACCTCCCTTCGGTTTCGTTTTGGCCTTCAACGCAGCGGCTTTGTCAGAAGACGCATCCTCGGCGGAAACTTGCTCATTGTGCTTTTCACCAGCCTTGGCGCCTGCCTCGGGGTCCTTGTCTTTAGCAGCAGGAACCTCTGGTTCAGCCTTCGTATCCACGCCCTTGGCGCCGGGCTTCGGTAGGTTAACTCCCTTGGCAGGACGAGACCCAGGCTTGATCGATTCAAGTTTGTCTTCAACGTACTCGCTCAGACCTTCCATTGACTTCTTTCCAGTGAACTCCTCCACCCTTTCACCATTGTGATACAGCGAGAATTGCGGGAAGTACTTGACGTCCAATTTCTTGCAAAAGTCGCCATAGGCCTGGCAGTTCAGCGATGCAAAGTGGAAATTGTAGAAGCCATGGAAGGAGTTCAGGGACTTAGTATCGGACGGTTTCGAAGAGGACGAGGCCAAAGGATCCGAAGTCTACCTTTTGTTAGCGGGCCTGAACGAGCACACTCCCTAATCGGCAAGGCCACAGCACATACATAGTAGTATTCATAGAGTGTCTGCCATGCCGGAGCGATCTTTTGGCAATGCGGGCAGGCAGGAGAGAATTGCTTAATAAACCTGGTAGATGTTAGAGCAGGCATCTAGACACCGGAGTGAGAAGAGTTCTAACCAGTAGCCGTCCTTGACGGTTTCCTCGAAGTTATCAGGCGTCAAATCTTTCATAGGAGGCACTTCAACACCGTTAAAGGTAGTAGACAGGGTACCCGGGTCGACGGGATCGTCGGCTCTCTTCACAAGTCGACCATTTCTGGATTCAAGGACGTTGTCGGAAGGAGAAGCGAGAGAGGGGATAGAGAATAAAGAGAGAAGCGAACACGCCAGCAAGGATGCCCTCATACTGACTGCAAGTCAAGGTCCGAGACCTTGAAACGATGTCTTTAAAGAGAAGTGAACGTAAGAACAAAGGGCGATTGCCAGAGAGATTACGGGCGGCACATGAAGACCTGGAACGAGTGTCGAAATGCGGCTCAGTGGCCACAGCAAGTGGGAACAACCGCCGTAGAGGAACCGGCTCTAAAACCGATACAGGCGATTATATTTAGAGTGACGAGAAATCTGCGGACAAATCCGCAGGTCCTCAAGAAGAAGGATGGTCTCGAATGCGGGTGAGAATGGGTAAACCCCCTAGGCGCGGAGAGATCGATAAGTTTAGTTCCCTTCAGATGAAAGTGGCCGGAACGTCCTGGTGGAATCTCTGTTTCTCCGCCCCCCGACGGAACCTCAACTTCGCTCCCGAAGTCAATGACAACCTGAGATACTAAATTACATGGTCTGCCATTGGCCCTGATATTCTTCACCTTTTTGGGTCAATTCTTTCTCCCCTTCTTCTCATATACTCTCCGAATACAATGAGGTCCACATTCCGGTTGCTGGCCAACGTCAAGCCGGCTCGGTACCTGGAGCCTTTTGCTCCCACCGGTATCACCGGCCTTGTCACTCATCCCAGTCCCCGCCCGACTTTGATCTATCTCTACACAACTACCCTGCAGAAATTGAAGGCCTTCCCCGAGTCTTCCGTCTACCGCCAGTCCACCGAGGCTGTAACCCGCCACCGTCTGCAAATTGTTGAATCTACGAAACCTCCTGGCTATGAGGCTTGGTTGGAGCGCGTGAAGAAGGCCATTGGTACTGAACCTGAGCGTTTCGCTTCTCTCCTTCGCCCAGATGGCTCGTACGCGGGAGTTTTGCGCGGCGATGGAAGCGACAATCCTCGGGGTGAGGAGTGGGATGGAGAAGCCCTCGAGCCGACTAGTGAAGGCCCTGCCCGTACTCCAGAGGAAGAAGCTCGGTGGCATCAGGCTATCGAAGATTCCACCAATGCAGAGAACGAGTCTGATTTCCATACTCACGCTATGAAGTGGGAGAACGAGCCCGCCTTGGAAGCAGAGCAGTATGTTCTTACCTTACACTTTCTTTTGGAAACAAAGTTAACAATAAACCTCAGGATTGCCGAAATCGAGAACCAGATTGGCGCCGGTCTCCTTGAGGAGGTCATCCAAGTTGCAGAGGGTGAGCTGAAGCTTGTTGACGAGATGTCCAAGTCCAAGGTGTAAGTCCTCCACCCACGAAGAGCATCATGCAAGGAATATGCTGACATCCGACAAGTTGGGAGGAGCTAGAGGAAAAGCCCACCCCTGGCCAGTGGTCCTACTTTGAGCGCAAAGACTCTGCATAAAGGCTGACTCCGATGAATAAAAAGACTTGTTCATTTCTATGATCCTTAACCCCACTTGTATTTATTAGCCGATGCGTGTCAATGGAAAGGAACGCTATCTTGTCGAAATTATATCCACTATTAGAAGGTTCATGTCTTCATGCTCTATACAGCAATCAAGTTCGAATTGATACAGGGAGTTTCCTACGCAATAGACAAAGGTGGTTGATCGTTGAAGCATTGGAACATTGTAGACAATGTTAATGGCCGCGCTGTTGTGCGTTTGTGGGCACTGCGATCACTTTAGCGGACATTTAGAATGTGTAATCTTAAAGGATGACTATTACATAGGATAGAATGGGAAATCTACCTGGGTACCTAGCATTGCAACGAGTATGAACTGGAATCATCCAATTGAGATCTTGTATGAAGCCTAGAATCGTAGGCGGTGAGGGTTCAGGTCGCTAGGCTATTGTAGATAGCTGGCGGGTTTCCGTCTCCTTGTGGACACATCGCTGCCGAGTCCCTGAACATCTACATTGGTAACCTACAGGCCATTCCGGTCGGGGACTTCCTCATCCTTGTGCGCTTTTAATACATACTTCCAAGGGAAGTTATTTGCAAACCCGGGTTGGGCTGTCTGAGCCGCTCGTGGCCTGGTTTCTTCCCCTCCGCCCCCGACGCCGCAAATAGTCGCGACATTCTCCTTCCCCACACAACATGAGATTGGATGTTAAGGTACGCCGTGTGTTGCTCGGAATGGTTTTACATGTGGAATGAGCTGGCGCTTCTTCATTTGAGCATACAGTTGAATGGAAATGATATTGTTGCTGACCATAATTGCAACTCAATAGAGACAGCTCTTTGCTCGCTCGGAGCGAGTAAAGGGCATTGACTTCCATCCGACGGAGCCATGGGTGAGTCCCTAACGATCTCAGATATCGACATATAATACTGACTGTGCTTCAGATCCTGACGACCTTATACAGCGGTGCGTTGGGGGATCTGCATATAAACGGCTATAGGCTGAATGCGCTAATCGGAATCCATAGGTCACGTATACATCTGGTCTTACGAGACTCAGGTAAGTGTTTGATGAGCAACGTTACGCTCAAACATCTTCTGATTGCCAATTTCCGTAGTCAATTATTAAAACCTTCGAACTTACCGATGTCCCTGTACGAGCTGGTCGGTTTATTGCACGCAAAAACTGGATTGTTTGCGGATCAGACGACTTCCAACTCCGCGTATACAACTACAACACTTCCGAGAAGATTGCCTCGTTTGAGGCCCACCCAGACTATATTCGCTCGATTGCTGTTCATCCCACCCAGCCTTTCGTTCTTACCGCCTCCGATGATATGACAATCAAGCTCTGGGATTGGGAGAAAGGTTGGAAGTGTGTCCAGGTGTACGAAGGTCACGCTCATTATGTGATGGGACTGTCTATTAATCCCAAGGACACAAACACATTCGCATCTGCATGTTTGGATCGGACTGTCAAGATCTGGAGTCTTGGTTCTCCACATGCCAATTTCACATTGGAGGCCCACGAGACGAAGGGTGTTAACTATGTCGACTACTATCCACAAGCCGATAAGCCGTATCTTCTTACCACCTCAGATGATAAGACGGTTAAGGTCTGGGATTACACCACAAAGGCGCTCATTGCAACATTGGAAGGACACACAAGTAATGTTTCCTTCGCCTGCTATCACCCGGAATTACCAGTGATCATTTCGGGATCTGAAGATGGAACCATCAAGATCTGGCACGCAAACACATACCGACTGGAACAATCGTTAAGCTATGGTCTTGAAAGAGCGTGGTGTGTTGCATACCAGCGCGGTAGACAGGGTATCGCAATGGGTTTTGATGATGGTGCAGTGGTCGTTAAAATGGGTCGCGAGGAACCTGCTGTCTCTATGGACGGATCGGGAAAGATTGTCTGGGCAAGGCACAATGAAGTGGTTTCCACAGTCATCAAGGGTGGCGATGCTACTGTCAAGGATGGTGCACCAATCTCCTTACCGACGAAGGAGCTGGGCTCATGCGAGGTCTACCCACAGACCCTATCACACTCGCCCAATGGCCGTTTCGTTTCAGTATGCGGCGATGGTGAGTATATCATCTACACTGCCCTTGCCTGGAGAAATAAGGCATTCGGACAAGCTCTCGATTTCGCCTGGGGCTCGAAGGATAACAGCAATGACTATGCTATTCGCGAGTCATCAACTAGTGTCAAGATCTTCAGGAACTTCAAGGAAGTCAGTGGCGGCTTAGATGTCGGCTTCCAAGCCGAAGGTCTCACTGATGGTGTGCTTCTTGGTGTCAAAGGACAAGGAGGCATTGGTATGTTCGACTGGGAAACCGGCAATCTAGTCCGTCGTATTGAAGTCGATCCGAAGGCCGTAAGAATCACCGAAAAATGACCATCAATAAAGCCCAGTCGCTAACACTGTTTCTAGGTTTATTGGTCTGAGTCTGGAGAGTTGGTGACCCTTGCCTGCGAGGACTCATTCTACGTGCTCCGATTCTCGAGGGAGAACTACATCAACGGTCTCAATGAGGGAGAAGCCGACGAGGATGGTGTTGAGTCGGCTTTCGAAGTCGTCACTGATGTCAATGAGACTGTCAGGACAGGTCAATGGGTTGGTGACTGCTTTATCTACACCAATTCGACGAACCGCTTGAACTACCTTGTTGGTGATCAGACCTACACAATCTCTCACTTTGATCAGGGCATGTATGTCCTCGGCTACTTGCCTCGCGATGGCAGGGTATATCTGGCTGATAAGGATGTCAACGTTGTTTCTTTTGGTCTCTCACTTAGCATGGTCGAATACCAAACCGTGGTTCTTCGTGGAGATATGGATATGGCAGCAGAGCTGCTAAAGGACATCCCGCAGGACCAGATCAACAAGGTTGCGCGGTTCCTCGAGGGCCAAGGCTACAAGGACATGGCCCTTGAAGTCGCCACTGACCCGGAACATCGTTTCGACCTTGCCCTTTCTCTCAACAATCTCGACATTGCCCTCGAAATTGCTCGTGAAGCCAACGTCGAACACAAATGGAAGACTGTTGGTGATGCTGCCCTGGCAGGATGGAATCTGGATCTGGCCCAGGAGTGCTTCACCAATGCTAAGGATGTTGGCTCCCTCCTGCTTTTGCACACCGCCAGCGGCAACAAGGAGGGTCTCCGTAACCTCGCAGAACAAGCCTCCGAGGCCGGCCTGCACAATGTTGCCTTCTCTACCTTGTGGTCTCTCGGTGGTATCGATGCCTGCACAGACCTTCTTGTGCGGACCAACCGTCTCGCGGAAGCCGTTCTTTTCACACAGACCTACAAGCCATCCCGGGCACCCGAGCTCGTCGTTCAGTGGAAGCAGTCGCTCGAGCAGTCTGGAAAGACAAAGATCGCTCGCCTGATCGGTGTCCCTCCTGGTGCTCCAGACGCTACCGCCGATGACGACCTCTTCCCCGAATGGGATGAGTACCTCCGCCTGGAGAAGGAAGGCGTTGTCCCTGAGCCTCCTTCTTCAGAGTCCCTTATCGACGTCAACGATGACGAACCAGCCGAGTCAGCAGCCAACGGGGCGCCAGAGGTCGAAGCCGAAGCATGAACGAAAAGGTGAATAACGGTGGGGTGCAGAGAGAAGTTGGGTGTATCTATTACCTTATTGTTTTAGAGTTATTTGTGCTACCTATTTTTTCCCCCTCTTCTTCCATTTTGCCCGCTATGACTTAAATATTATTACGTCTCATATCCACCATGGCCCTTTGTAAAGATCGCGTTCATTGTTCTTTAGAAAACGAGATTACTATCAGCATTATCCTGTGTTGCTCGCTGCTCGAGCCCTACCTGCTTCCAGTTATATTGAATACTAAGGATGAGGCGCTATGCACCATGGAGGGGAGAAGCAACATCATTACCCATAAATTAGCTCAATTCAAAGGCCAAACTTGATGTTTTCTATCCTCCAGAACTAACATGTTACAGACCTCCACTCACCGGCGTCGTGTAATCGGCCCGTGGTGGTATTTGTCTGGCGCCACTTCGGCCGCCGGCGTCCCTTTCTATAAATGGGGCGAATATCACACCAGATGTGTTGTGTGTCATGAGAAGGGCGGTAGTGTTGTTATGAGTCATAGTGTAGTTGTGTGGTGTGCATTTTCATAGATGGTGGTCTGGAGATATTTTTGGCTTTAATTTTTCTGGATATATTATGCTTGACGGGTGGGTGGGATTATTACGTAGTACTTCGATCTATGGAGAGAGTTGATTTTCGGTAGCCGGTTTGGGCGTAGTCTGGGTAAACCAAATGATGACTGTTCCAAAGTACAAAGCCATTGGGATTGTAGAACAATAGTCTAGTTCTTCATAGTTGGAATGAATATCTTAGGAAAGACTCGACGTCAATTCATCGAGTCATGGGCAATATTGAGATATGGGTATCTACGGGCTGAACGGAAACGTTGTATGCGAGAGGGCTAGAACAAAATTACGACAGTAGGAAGATTCCTCCCCCTTGGTATATAGGGAAACCGGTTTTCAGGCCTGGGTGTCCTCGTACCTCTCTCAGTCGAGCATACCAGACGTTGGCGCACACATTCCCCAGATCGGCTGGAGCCTATCGCATGCGACAGTTACCCACCCGGCGTCGATATCCGAACATTGCTGCAGCAAGTCATGGAGGCCGATCCGGCCAATGAAATCCATTGAGCTTCTTTTTCCGACATGCGACTAACTAGCAGCGTAGTGTCGGCTGCACCGGTGTCTCGAGGAAAGGTGAGATCGGAGCATGTCTTGCTTCAGCGACCAAAGTCGGGTTGAATGTTCGCCATCTCGAAGAATGGTGACTACCGGAGGATTGTCTCCAGCCTAGGACTATGTATATGCCATGATGCCACGACTTTTGCGTGATAGAGTTCAAGAGCGGAGATTTCCAGCGGTGATTACAATCGTATAGATCAGCACAGTACCGGCAAGATGATGCATTGGAGCAACATACTACCCACATTAACCGCCTTTATCGCCTTTATCCTGGGCATGCTATGCCTCTTCGCAGGAACAAAGACAAACCTTTTATTAGACACGGATGTTTTCACGGTATGTTCGCCTTTGTCACACTCTGGTATGAGCGGGGACTTAACAACCGTCGAAGATATATACGACAAGTATAAGCAATGACACAGGGATGCGAGACTTCTACTCAATATATGTCATGTCCTACTGTGAGGGATTCCTGCATGCAGAAAATCGAAACTTGACCGGATGTTCAACCCCGTCGCTACTGTTCGCCTTCAATGCGACTGAAGCGCTAACGAAAGATGCGGGCAACACCACCTCATTATCCAGCCTGGGATGGCCGAGTTCCATCACCGATGATCTACGCACGTTCGGTGCTACCAGCCAGAGTATGGGGGTCTTCTACTGTATTGGGATAGGGTTAGCGGGACTGGTGGTCTTGGAACGACTGTGGTTCGTGATCGCGAAAGGACCAAGACAGACGGTTGTAGAAGCTTCTTCTCTCATGGTAAGCTCCATTGGACGTTCCAGATCCCGTCCGGTACTAAGAAGGAGGTCCACAGCTCAGTTTCACGATGCTCAGCATTCCGTCCATTATCGCAACGGTCATTGCATTACAATTTGTGAATCTCATCAATCGCCACGGCGAGGAGTCCGGTGTGACGGCGAGGTATGGCCATCAATTTTTAGGGATGACATGGGCTGCCGCTGGGTTGTTACTGGTGGGAGGTATGGTCAGTTTACTAACGGTGATGGTGGACCGTAACCGATCGGCAGCGTATGAACCGGTGGCAGAACCGAAGACGGTGGCCGCGGATTCGGACTCGGTAGGGTCGAACGAGAAGGGAGACTAAGAAAGGAACGGAATGGAGAGGAATAATGATAATAAAAAAAAAGGGGGGGGGAACTTAACTAAAGCAGGAAAAAAAAGAAGACCAGAGAAAACCAAGGAAAGGGAGCGAATCGGGAGGAGTTGATTCTTGTGCTAATGCATTGGATTGGAACCCAATATTGGTTGGATATTGGATATTGAACAAATGTTGAACGCAACGATAGGAGCCCCACCGAACCTGGACAGTTCTATAGAAGAAATTCCATGAGTCTCTGTTGATTTTGAAGTGGACCTTTGTCGCAATACAATAGCAGCATGGCAGGTGGGAAGGGGTCTTGAGATCATAGTCCAAGTCCATAGTGTGAGGAAAAAATTGGGTCTTCCCGCGGATGGCGACGTCACGAGTGGACCCGTGAGAAGGTCTCGCCAAATGAGGCAACCCGGTTCCCTCCGCTATACCTGCGATGCTATCGTTGATAGTGGGTCACTCGATGGGCTCGAACGATGCCAAATGATGACGTTAAGTTGACTACGACTGTTGCTGTCATGACTGGAAAATTATCGGGAGGAATTGACCAGTGTTATTCGCGGGGGGAAGGAGAGACTAGTAGTCGTAGTACCAGTACTGCGTAGTAGGCCGTTCAGTTCAAGTCGTGCAGGGAATCCACTCGGGGATGAGCAGGGGTTCACCTCATCGACGACTGGGGACGGAGTACAGACCAAGAAGACTCCAATTAACCCGTCCGGCTTAAGGTAAGTGGTTACCTTAGTACGAGATAGGTTTCCGGTCACCTAGCGGAGGGTAACCCCGACTGGACCATATTCCAGTGTGAATGTTAATACTGTGTCCACAGAGAGAGAGAGAAATGAGGATCGGGTGACAATTGGGTGTCCAGTTCCTGCGTAACGTGATAACGAATCCCTTCATGACCCTATCGCCAGGATGATCACGGAATGGTCCGGATCAGAAATTCAGAGCCGCTGGTTGGGTTGACGACCTGAACGAATACCCAAACCAATGACGAAAACCAATCCCAGCGTTTCCTGTTTTTGCACGAGAATAGCCACAATTTCCCCCCCAGAAATGAAAAAGCGTCTGAGCCCTCCGGAAGACTGCGTTCCTAGTCCCCATGTGTTCAGTTGATACTATTCCCATAGGCACATTTCCCCCCTTCCCCACTCGAGTTCCACCAGTCGTGAATGAGCATCGTGTAGGGGTTCCATTCTCGCCCAGAGTTTCGTTTCTTTGCCGTTCCATACAAAGCGTCACTGCATCATTCCTTCCTTTTTCATTCACCCCTCTCTTGTCCACCATCGTGAAATGTTTGGTAGTACATATACCCCTCGTTACCCCTCTTTCTGTTTCCCACGAAATTAACATCGTCAACAACAACAACAACAACAATCACTTTCACTTCTCCTACTTCAACGTCTCTTTCTGATAGCCCTTCCGCCTTTCTCTCATCTACTACCAACTACTACTGTCATATACTCTTTCTCCATCCTACTTCATCACCATCACGCCACCCCCCTGTTAAATCCAACCTCAGGATACAACTGTCAACCATCCATCATGGGTAAAAAGGCTATCCAGTTTGGCGGTGGAAACATTGGCCGTGGCTTCGTGGCTGAGTTCCTCCACGCTGCCGGCTATGAAGTCGTCTTCATTGATGTCATGGATAGCGTCATCAACTCTTTGCAGCAGACCCCGTCGTACGATGTGACGGAGGTCAGCGAAGAGGGTGAAAGCACCAAGACCATCACCAACTATCGCGCCATCAACTCCAAGACGCATGAGGCCGACGTCATTCAGGAGATCGCATCGGCTGATGTGGTTACCTGTGCTGTCGGCCCCAACATCCTCAAGTTCATCGCGCCAGTCATTGCCAAGGGCATTGATGCGCGCACCGAAAAGAAGCCTGTGGCGGTGATCGCCTGTGAGAACGCGATCGGTGCGACGGATACCTTGCACGGATACATCAAGCAAAACACCAACCCTGACCGTCTGGAGACCCTCTCCGAGCGTGCCCGCTTTGCCAACTCGGCTATCGACCGCATTGTCCCCAACCAGCCCCCGAACAGTGGTCTCAATGTTCGCATCGAGAAGTTCTACGAGTGGGCCGTGGAGAAGACTCCTTTTGGCGAATGGGGTCATCCCGACATCCCTGCCATCCACTGGGTGGACCACCTCGAACCTTACATTGAACGCAAGCTCTTCACCGTCAACACTGGCCATGCTACCACGGCCTACTACGCTCACAAGCGTGGCAAGAAGATGATCGCTGAGGCCCTTGAAGACCCTGAGATCCGCGAGACGGTGCACAAGGTGCTCGAGGAGACTGCCGCTCTCATTACCGATAAGCATGAGATCTCGGACCAGGAGCAGAAGGAGTATGTTGACAAGATCGTCAGCCGTATTTCCAACCCGTATCTCGAGGACAACGTTGAGCGTGTAGGACGTGCTCCTCTCCGCAAACTGTCTCGCAAGGAACGGTTCATTGGGCCTGCCTCGCAGCTTGCGGAGCGTGGCAAGAAGTTCGATGCTCTGCTGGGCGCCATTGAGATGGCTCTTCGCTTCCAGAACGTCCCAGGAGACGAGGAGAGTTCCGAGCTTGCTCACATTCTGAGGGATAACTCGGCCGAGGATGCCACCTCCCAGCTCACCGGTTTGGAGAAAGACCACCCACTTTATTCTCATGTGGTGAAGCGTGTTTCCGCAGTCCAGCAGGGCGCCAAGTCAGTGATCTGATCCCCGGTCGTTTTACATACCACCACACTCCTTTTTATTACCAGAAAACGAAGGGTTCCGAGTCCATCACCATATGGATCGCCCGAGGGATATTTGATATGATATCAAATTGATCTGTCCGCTGGCCGGGCATGAACTGCATGGGATACGGCGAACATATGGACGGCGCGAATGGAAGCATTCAATGGGATCTCGGGTTAGCATACATAGGATGATTTGTATTGACTTGGTGCAGCGCATTAGAGTCTAATGAGATTAATGATTATGAGATTATTTATTTATCCTTTGGTCTTTGTAGTTGGCATCTGTAGTATAGGTATTCTTCATAAATGTGCCCCTATAGTTCAACTATAACTTGCTATCCGCCCACTTTGGTTTCCTCTTCTCCACAAACGCCCTCAATCCCTCTTTGATATTCTCGCCCTCATTTAACCGCTTCTGCCAGCCGTCGATCAACCAGCGACTGCCCTCCTCGGCTCCCACACCCTCCCAACCCAACTTGACTCCCTCCCGACTGACGATCACCGCATCGGGACTATTCGCCGCGATCTGACCCGCGATTTCTAATGCCCGCGTCACCACGTCTTCCGGCGTGGCCAGCACCTCGTTGACAAATCCCCACTTCTCCGCCTCGGTCGCCGTCACCCGGCGCCCCGTCAAGACCATCTCCATCGCCCGCTGTCGCCCGATGGTCCGCACCACTCGCGGCAACGCCCCCGCAATCGCAACAACTCCGCGCTGAACTTCGGGAAACCCGAAAAAGGCCTTCTCACACGCAATCACTAGATCCGCATTGACAATCATCTCACACCCACCCCCCAGACAGAGCCCATTCACCGCGCAAATAATAGGCTTCTTCCCACTCCGGCGGGAAAGACCCCCGAATCCCGACGATGGCTGTTGTCGTTTCGCACCTGCGCTATTCACTTGGTTGTTCCATTCTGTGCAACTCCATTAGCACATGTCTCTCTCATCTCGGACCAGAACCCGTCAATAATAACAATGGGGGCGTTGATGCATGTATATATGTATATATGTATATCAAAAGCTAATCTGAGATAAATAACGTAATACCATACCCTTTAAATCCGCCCCCGCGCAAAACGCCCTCCCTTCCCCCGTCAACACCCCAACCCGGATACTCGGCTCCTCGTCCATCCATTCCCAGAGCTCGTGCAGCTCATGGTGGCCCGCTGCGTTTATGCAGTTGAGGTCCTTGGGTCGCGAGAGCGTCACTTGCAGGACATTTGGGGTCGGGAACGTCACTTTGGCGTGCTGTGGGGTCGGGGGTGGGGTTTTGAACGTCATTTTGTTTGTCCCTTTCTTCCTTCCCCTTTTTGGTATTTGGTATTGTTTTGGGGTAGGGGAGGTATTGGTTTACAGGGGTTCTGGGTTGTCGTGGCTTTTATTTCGTCTTGGGTGTTGTTGGTTTAGTATGTTGGGGCAACGTTGCCGAGGGCCGAAATGCGGAGAAGGTTATTTTTGTGATTATCTATGTGGAGTTGGGGAGTTGCTTGGTTTTGGGACTAGTTGTTTGGGCTAGTGTTGACTACTACTGCTGATGGGTAAAATGAAGGTACTTCTTTCGAGTGAAGAGTGTATCTACAAGGTCTGTATGTATGTATGTATGTATGTGTGTTTGTTTGTGTATTCAAAATTAGTTTCTCGATGACAAGGGGAAAAAGATAAGCCCGCTTCAAGCCTTTGTAGGTATGCTCTACACATATACACCCCCCCGGCAACGCCCAACTCCGTTCCATTGACACCCTGGATATAAAACTGTCGACTCATTCATCAATCAGACTATGCCTTGTTGATCCAGCCGCTGTGCACCATAAAATCGTAAATTCGGCCCGTTTTGGTCGCGTCGATCTATGTATGGAGTGATTAGTTAACTCAGTTATCTTGTTTGGTAGGGCGTGGGGGTTACCTTGCAGATTGTTCGCGCGTCCTTCTTTTTCAAGCTTCCTCCCTGCTTCATTGCTTCCTTGAGGAGGGTCTCCTTGATTACTAGATAAGGCTTGGGCTGGACGTGCAGTACGTTGCATACTTCCACCTCTTCCTTGGTTAGGAGATGAAGGTCGGGTGCGCCGTCGTTCTCTAGTTTCCATGGAATAACCCCGTTAAGCGGTTGGACTACGAACTTCGTTTTGGCTGGCTGCGGTGTCGTGAGACCATCTCCATTGCTGGCAAATGCTCGGTCGAAATCGTTCATCGGTTGGTTGACCGGCTCTACGGCCTTGTTTGCGCCGGATGCCTTTTGTAACCGCAAGGGGAGCTCTGGTGTGGTGAGCTGACTGGCTGCAGAGGGACCCTCAGGCTGCTGTGACTGCTTCGGTCGTGTGCTGGCGAATCGATCAAAGGACCCTTGTGGCACGAGTCGCTGGGCGCGTTGCTGTTTCTCTTGCTCGTATTTTTCTCCGCCGATAAGGTCTCCAATCCCCATCTGTCGCCATTCCTGTAGTTGCGTGATGGCTAGTCGTAGATTGTGCTCGTACTCTAAGCCCTTGTTGAACTCCTCAAAGTCATCATGGTTCATCATTCGAGCAAACGGCTTCGCTTTGTTTAGTAGATCCCTTTCCTCCTTAGTGCGCTTCTTCTCCAAGGCTGTGTTCTTGCGGTATTCAAGTAAATTGTGCTCGAACAGAACTTTCTTGCGCTCCGTTCGGGCGGTCAGACGTGAGTTGTAGATATCGACGACCGTCATCTTTAGCTCCATCTCCGCGTCTGTTTCACCGTTGGCCGTTTCACCTGCGCCCGGTTCGAACGTCATATGTTGCACCGCCTCTTCCGCATCGTTCATAAATTCCGTCTCGAATTCGAGACGACCAGGCATATAACCTTGTACTTCGTGACAAGCTGGAACACTGGCTGTCGGCTTTTGTTTTGGTGTCGTCGGAGGGGCCGCCTTAGCCGCCTCCTTGCGCTCCTCGATGCGGCGCTTCTTGCGGGACTGGAACTCTTCCTTGGAGATCGAGTCGGACAGTCGCGTATCGTCCGGGTCGGCGCGTTCGGGTAATGGGAAATTCGAGCTGTCTATATATGTGCTGATATAGTGATCTCGTACTTCCTCCTTAGTTCGGTAACCACCGATATGATCTGCGATATCGGCCCATGACCCCAACCCATAAATATCCGCGCCTTCTAACAGCAAAAGTTCCTCATCCGCTCCCCAATCTTCCTGGAAGATCGGAACGGAATTCTGTTCAATCACTTGGAACGGATGTGAGGACGGGTCGTGGTTCTTGGATTTCTCTCCGGCGGCAAAACAAGGAACGCAGAGATCGTACTCATGGCAGGCGGGGTGGGCGCACGATACACGAACCTGTTACACTGCAGTTAGATATAACCCGTGTAATTCCATTGACATCGGTGCCTCCATACCGTTGAAGTCACGTCGACCGAACAGATATCGCAATGGTACTTGGTCCCAGCTTCCGTGCCGCGCGAGGCGGTCTTCTTCCGTATTACGCCCATCGATTGTGAGTCCCTTTCATCCTCCGCTGTATCCTGAGCCGTTTCGACTAGATTCCGCGCCCTCTCGTGGTGACAGAGGGCTGATATGGAGCGATCCGATCAAGTGTGAGATGGTCCAGATGGGGAAGTCGGGGAACGCGAAGGGAGATCTCCGCAGTGGAAGTGGGGATCAGTCAGCTGAGCGGGTGGTCAACTGGCCAGTCAGGAACGGAATACTCGGAGCAAGCGATATGCCAATCGAGCGGGTGAAATCACTTCCTAGTCACGATGCGCTGGCTGATCTCTATTGGGAGCTGAAGTTGCAGTTAGCTTCGGTACATAGCGGCATCGCCAGATCCCGGGCGGGCAAAGTGGCTTAGCCATCGGGGCTAGTGGACTTGGAAGCCTGGATTCTCAGGAATCTGCACCGCCCCAGGGGCACTGATGCCTCAGGCGCCCTGTGCATGGACCCAGGCAGCCATGTTCCTGACCCAATGATGGCGGGTGATTTTGCCCCCCTCCTTCTGCCGTGCCCCCTTCTGCCACTTTTCCCCTCGATCTGTGTTTGTTCCCTTTTCATCGTTCAAGACAATCCATCTTGCTTGTGTTTTTTTTCTTTTTTTTTTTACCTGGGTCGTTGTTGGAATTTGTTCCGGCCCTGGTTATTCCTGTTGTGGTTGTTCCCCTCCTTCTTAACCTCTCCGTGTACAGTCTCCGATCATCTTCCTTATCTCTGGATCTCAGTTCCCTGATCCCCCTCAGGTTTCCTTCTCTGTGTGTTTCTCTGACCGCTGTGGCTGTGGCGGTACCGCATCTCGGTCACTGCTCCAACCCTCTGGGGTACTAAGAACGACCTCCTTTTTGTTTCATTCCCTCCCTATTTTTTCTTTTTTTTTATATTTAGTCCGTAACAAACTTGATAAAGATCCTACTGCATTCCGTTTCCTCTCTCATCTTTATCCTGGATATCATAAATCGCCTGTCACAATGTCTTGGAAACTCACCAAAAGTATGTCCCTTACTTTCTATATATAGCATCACTTTGGCCCATTCTGCAAAGTTGACCTCTGTCTAACCCACTTCATATAGAATTAAAGGAAACCCACCTTGCTCCTTTGACGCAAACCTTTACCCGGTCCTCATCCACATCCACCATTAAGGGCGAGTCCGGCGAAGAGACCCCCGTGGTTTCTCAGGCTCCGACTCCGACTATTTCCACGTCAAACATCAATGGAATCAGTATGTAGCCTATGTCTTTCGGGGGTCACGAGCATGCCCTAACATGTGAAAAGGTGCCTCGGAATCTCTCGTATCGCCTCCTGTGGCGCCCGTCAAGCCCGGTATCCTGATCGTCACCCTCCACGAAGGCCGGGATTTCGCTCTTTCCCCGCAATACCAACAGATCTTCAATTCGCATTTCCAGAATAACTATGCTATGCGCCCGAGCTCTTCGTCCGCCCACTCCACCCATGGGCAGGCTGCATCATTCGTCCATAGCGGCCGTCCTCAGTCGACTAGCGGAGGTATCAATGCTGCGCCCACAATCCACGGTCGGTATTCGACAAAGTATCTTCCCTACGCTCTGTTAGATTTCGAGAAGAACCAGGTTTTTGTCGACGCAGTGTCAGGGTCGCCCGAGAATCCCCTTTGGGCTGGAGACAACACCGCCTTCAAGTTCGATGTGTCCCGTAAGACGGAATTGAACGTTCAACTCTATCTCCGAAACCCGGCCGCTCGGCCCGGTGCCGGTCGGAGTGAGGATATCTTCCTCGGTGCCGTCAAGGTCCACCCGCGCTTCGAAGAAGCCCAACAGTTTGTGGAGGATCCCAAACTCAGCAAGAAGGACAACCAGAAAGCGGCTGCTGCCCACGCAGCCCAGGAGCGCCATTTAGGCCAGTTGGGCGCAGAATGGCTGGAGCTTCAATTCGGTACCGGATCGATCAAGATTGGTGTTAAATTCGTCGAGAACAAGCAGCAAAGCTTGAAGTTGGAGGACTTCGAGTTATTGAAGGTCGTGGGTAAAGGTAGTTTCGGCAAGGTCATGCAGGTCATGAAGAAAGATACAGGTCGTATCTATGCCCTCAAGACTATCCGTAAGGCTCACATCATTTCACGATCGGAAGTTACGCACACTCTCGCCGAGAGATCGGTGCTTGCACAGATCAATAATCCCTTCATCGTCCCCTTGAAATTTTCATTCCAGTCTCCAGAAAAATTGTATTTCGTTCTTGCCTTCGTAAACGGTGGAGAGCTATTCCACCACCTCCAAAGAGAGCAGCGTTTTGATATCAACCGTGCCCGTTTCTACACGGCTGAGCTGCTTTGCGCTTTGGAGTGTCTACATGGCTTCAAGGTCATTTACCGTGATCTCAAGCCGGAAAATATTCTCCTCGACTATACGGGGCACATTGCTCTTTGTGACTTTGGTCTATGCAAGTTAGACATGAAGGATGAAGATCGGACGAACAGTAAGACACCTTATGTATCTGCAACCCCGTTTGACTTCGTTAACGTCCTCGATAGCCTTCTGCGGAACCCCGGAATATCTTGCACCTGAGTTGCTATTAGGCAACGGATATACCAAGTCTGTCGACTGGTGGACGCTGGGTGTCCTCCTGTATGAGATGTTGACAGGTCTTCCTCCATTCTACGACGAAAACACCAACGACATGTACCGCAAGATTTTGCAGGAGCCCCTGACTTTCCCCAGCACGGATATTGTACCCCCCGCTGCTCGGGACCTTCTGACACGACTGCTTGACCGTGACCCCCAGCGTCGACTGGGTGCCAACGGTGCTGCAGAGATTAAGTCGCATCATTTCTTTGCCAACATTGATTGGCGTAAGCTGCTCCAGCGGAAGTACGAACCAAGCTTCCGACCCAACGTGGTATGTGATAGCATCATGACTTCATCCCTCTGCATCTTTGCTTTTAGCTGACTCGTGTAGGTTGACGCGCGTGACACCGCCAACTTCGACCGGGAGTTTACATCCGAAGCACCTCAAGACTCATACGTGGATGGGCCCGTTTTGTCCCAGACTATGCAGCAGCAGTTTGAAGGCTGGTCTTACAATCGCCCGGTTGCTGGTCTTGGAGATG